CAGGCTGACTTATCTTTCTGTTTTTGCTAGAGACATCTTATACCCTCATAGCACATTTTGAATTTTCAGCCTTTTTAGCTGAATCTGAGGAGAGGGAAAGAATTAATGAATAGTACATATCTTCAAAGCAGTTCTGTTTTTGTGGGGTGCAAATTTGTTCTGGCTGCAACTGTGCTCACTGTGGAATTGGTTTGCAATGAAAAACAACTGAGCTAACTGGCTCTAGCATTTCTTGGTGTTCACAGGATTATGGACTGATCTTTGTAACAGACGCAACCCAAGAACTGAAAATGCAAGTCATATCACAGAATAAAGTCTAGCACAAGCACAGTGAAACCCTTCAGCCCGTCTGTGTGTTTTAACGTTTCATCAAATAGGCTCTTTCACAATTGTAGCAGAATTATAATTGGACTAATAGCACAATAACAGCAAACATAGCAATGACACTTTTAAAAAATATGACAAAGTCAGAAGACAACTTTTCCCTCTTTCAGAAGAACGTTGGCTGTAGTGTTCCAGTGTGCTATAGACCAGTCTGGGAGAAGTGGCTGTTCCAAATCTACTGCCTGTCTAGCTGTGAGCTCTTACAGGACTATGAAATGGTTATGGTATTTTTTAGAACAAGCTGGAACTAACTACGAAATGACAGACGGTTGCCTGTGCTTGTTCAGGAAAGAGAACTTCTCAGAAAACCTTTTTGGAAGAATAGAGAAAAAAAATGGATTACTGCTTTTAAGAAAACGTGGTAAAACAGAGAAGCTGGATAAAGTTAGATACAGTGTTATCTGAGGATTATTGTTACACAGTTAATCTGCATGTATACCTATTTAGAGCTTGCATGTCACTTGGGTGGTGGTTAAACTATATCTGTGTTTCTTTCCAGAAAATAACATTTCACAAAAGTGGTTCAGAGAGCTGCTTTTACAGCAACTGGAGCAATCACAGTAGAAATGTTACAGTGCGCGTAACATACACTGAAAGCAAGTGATCACACACGCAAGAGTTCATATAATGAAAAATACCCTGTTTTACTTAACAGTGAACATACATAGGGAACAGCTATTTCTCTGTTAGAGCGGTCTGCCTTTGGGGTAGCTTATTTTCCAATATATATTTAGGAGGAGGTGTGGGAGGAGGGGGAGATGCTGCTGCTGAATGTTAAATGCAAAGCACTTGGCTGTGATAGGCTGAGGGGATGTGGATACTCTGCCTATATATACTGGCAACTGCATCCTCTGCGCTTTATAACTGTCACAGAGGAGCAAAGAAAGAAGACGAGAAAGAGAGAGGGGAGAAGGAAAAACCTTACCAACTTACTGTGAGTAACATTCATTGTGCTTTAAGCTTTGTGGTTATTGAATACAAGGAGGTAAATTTGGATTAGTGCAACAACTGGTTACACTTGGGAGCTTGGCTAATAAACAGCCAATTTATGTTATTTTAGGGATAAACTGAGATGCTCAAAACATATTTGCTTTTAATCTACGTTTGCACAATGTAATGTGCACCTCTCATTTTGTTGTTGCTTGCTTTTACACAGACTGTAAACCAGCTATAATTGTTTATGTACATTTATGCAGGATCCCCTATATCCAGAAGTTTATATCTTGTCTTACCAAGTGCTGCAGTTTGGAACAGCCATGTAGACCTTCAGAAATTCTCTCTCAAGTGTTTATAATAATAAAATTTTCCAGATAACTTCTGTGCATGATTTTTTAGGGTGAGCTTTTCCTCAGAAATAACCCTTTCCCTTCACTGTAATAAGACCTCAAAACTGAAAATTAGTAAGTTGCAGACTCTTTGCAAGTGATAGCTAGAGATGAACATGGTAACTTATAATCAGAAAATGAGATTATTAAATGAAGTATAGGACCTGTTGCGTGTACCTAATTCTTGCTTTATGTAAAGGTAGTACAGAGCAGAGCCAGTCCTTTTCTAGTCATGCTTAAATCAAAGTCATCCTGAAGTCCTTTTTCAGACAATACTCCTATTGCAAGTAGTAGAAGTTCGGCCTAACAGCAGCAACAGCTGCAAATTAAGCCTCCAGCTTGTTGGGTGCAATAGCAAAAATCATGGCTTCAGTGGGGTCACTGTAGCATCCCAAGCCTTTAAATTATGTTTGACTCTGCAGCAATCAGTTGGCAAAATAGAAAGTGCGCTTGTCTTGTGTGTTGAAAAGAAATATAGTTAATACGTTTTTAAGCCAATGGAGCCATCAGTTTAAGGTGTTCTTATTGTGTCTGATGTATGCATTCCTCCTTTCTGTGTTTCATTAGAGCTGATAAAAGATTTTGTTGATGTTAGTTGCTTTTCTGTTTTACTTTGATGAACTGGAGAACAGGTGCTCTTAAAATTATGTCAAATAAACCTCCATCCTCACTTTTTCTCTTCCTTCCTTCCGTCCTTCCTTCCCTGCCTCTCTCTCTCTCTTTCCTCTCTCTCTGTTTTCCTCCTCTCTTTCTCTCTCTCTTTCTGTCTGCCCGTCGATCTTTCATTTCCTGGTAGTATTTGGATAGCTTTTACATTTACATTTCATTACAGTCAAAAACAGAAAATGCAGAATTGCAGACAATAGTTTGTTAACGGAAGTCATGTATAATTAGAAAGTTCTCTACATAATATTATATCTATAAATTTATTTAATATATTTGTGTGTAGAAGTGTTCATTTGTATGGTTCAATTTCAAATGAAGTAGATTATTTGTGAATGAGCATTGTATTGCACGTACAATGTAAAGACTAAAACCAGTTTTTGTGTAACTTCACTGAAATAGAACATTGCCACAGTCTCATTTCACTGCTCCAGGGTACAAGAAGTATTTAAACAAAGCAGCAAAGGATATGTCAGCTTTGGATTGTGTAGTATACTTGTCCCGTGACAAATCTCCATAAAATTAGAGTGAAGCAGTTATATATGAATAAAATTAAAGATATGTTAAAGATATGTTCATGATTGTTCTTGCTGTTTCCTGAAGTTAATTATAAAACTCAGTCTTTGCCAGTAAAGCAGGACTTGGTCCCAAGACGTAGGTATTGGTGAGAATATCCATTTCTTTTACTAGGAACAAAAGTACTGAGACATGACACATATTTGATAAAATTGTATTTTACCAGTCAGCTTGAGGCTGTTGATGAATTTGAGCACAGATTGCAGTTATGAAGTAGCAGAGGTCGATAATTAGGTAGGGTGCCTCTTGAAGAGCCATGCTCACTTCAGTTGGGATTCAGCTGGTAGATGTTGAAGATGCTGAAATTCCTCGTGGTAGATGTCGGATCCCTGGGAGCACGGGGCCTTTGCTCTTTATGTCCTTTGAAAAAATAGGCCACTGTGTAGAACGCTCTAGAGAAGCCTACTTTCTGTGGGATTTCCATTTAGGTTTGGAAACTCAAGATACTAGGTGTGCATTATCTTGCAGTTGAAGTCCCTTTGATTTATGTGGCTCTTTTGAGCACACCCAGATTGTAGAACTCAGCCTTTTCAGAAAATATGGATGCTCTGAAAAAGTTATATATATTTTTTAATTTTCTGAGGTATTTTACTTCTTATAAAACCACATTCTATTCTAGTTTTAAAACTTGCTGGCATAGAGGAAAGTTCTCTATGTATTGTATTGTTGCATTATACATATGTTGTGTAGGCATGTGAGCGGTAGAAGAGAATTATTCTGTACTGGTGGAGAAGTAGAAGAGAAGTACTCTGTACTGGTAGAGAGATTTAAAGTAATCAGGCATTTTTAGACTATTACCTGGAAAGCATTACAATTGTCAGATATGCCATCCACTAGATGTGGCTTCCATAGCAGGTAATAATTTTAAGCAGATGAAATGAAATCTATAATGAACAGTTGAGGAGGAGAGTAAAAATACAAATGAGAGCCTAAGCGGGTTTTGTCACACACAGAGGAATAGATATAAAATACGAGGTGAAAGGGAAAATTTAAATGACCAATGTGTTCCTAAGTAACTACTGCACATCCACAGTTCCCTGAGAGATACATATGTTGCGGTAGGTAAGGAATTTTCAGCCCCGACTTTTTAGGAAAGAAGATGCATGGATAGATAGATAATGTTTATTTTAATTTCTCAATATTGTCATTAGAGAAAAGAAGAATTTTGCTTGAAGCAAACTGATGTATTTCAGTATATCAAACTGAATTGAAACAGTTCATTTGAAGTTTACTAGATAGTTTACATCAGTTTACAACACTGCAGTAACTCATGGCAGATTTGAGATGGATGTTTCATTCTCCCTTTCTTTATGCCTAAGCTTCCTAGATGGATTACTTGTCCCGTGCCAAGCAATGGGTTTCCCCTGTAATTTAAGTCTTCTTCCTGAATTGTGAGAATGCTATCCTAACAGTGTGTTACAAGAGAAGTTGTGCAGCCAAAACAATAGTAGGATGAGCCACTGGTCCCCCAGTTCTGGGGAAGAACCACAGTTAGCAAATGACAAGTAGCATCTCAAAGTGATTATCTGAAATGCGTATTTTGTCAAACTGAATTGACAGATTTCTATTCAGTGGTAATAGGCCCGTTTCATAGAATACGTATCAGATGTTTAAATCCAAACTTTATTTGCTTAAACTGGTACCCAAAAAGAACCATGTCCAAACTGCTGATAATAAAAATGACAATAAATTGCATCAACATCCTATATAGGAACAAGATGATACAAATATTACTTGGAACAGAAAGGAATTTCAGATCCAAAAACATCTAGCTAGTAGAAAAGCAGTGACAAGATATATAACATAATATCTATATTTCAGTGATGTGATAAAGCACATTTATTTTTATCTGTGTGTTTGTGAGTTGCTTTGAGCTTGTACATGATGCTATTCAATTTATGCCATTTGATTTATATTTTGGGAGAAGATCAAGTGATGCACAGAAACTTCTGTGGTAATTAATGATGCTCTGTCTTTGAGTGATACAGCATAAAACTAGAGAACCTGTGAAAGTATAGTGGTATTTTATCTGTTCTGACGTTATACTAACAGGTCATTGGACGCACGCACAGATGTTGAAGGAAACATTCAGCTGAACTGATCCATTTTTAAAAGTCCACAGGAATAAGTGAAGTCAGTGATGAGCAGCAATGTTATTAGAAGACCAAATCCTCAAGTTCTGAGTCAGTTTGCTCACAAACAGTCTGAATGCCATTATGTTGACACTCGGGAATTAAATTCTTATTTTTACAATGTTCATCTCTGAGACCGGTGGCAAGGGGGAACAGATTACTATGTGTAAGTTCTGCAGAGCGTGCTGTACCAGTGAACTGGTGAATGAAGCACATAACTTAACGTGGTCATTATTTGTTTTAAGGGTTAAGCTGGAGATATTTTTGAAAAAGAAAATAGTACAACATTTAAGATTTCTTTTGGTGAAAATGTCTAAACCAAAGAACTGTGTGTTGGGATGTAATTAAATTGCTGCAACAGAGATAGATACTGATTACTGCATTGCATGCTGACCTATTTAGAAAGGTTATTAAAATTTGGAACTATGATCAAAGATATGTTAAATGAAAATGCACTTAAGATTTGTAGGGAGGGTATTGAAGAAAAAGAAGCATCCTGACTGTAGAGGAGGAGACACAGAACTGCTTGCTTAAACACCCTCTTTCAAAGGGGAGATGACACATAAAGCTGCCCACCAGAATCCTCTAAGGGCCATACTGACTATTAGCAATGTGTTTCCGGCAACCTAGAAGAAAGATCTGAGAAAGATCCTAATTCTCCTCTCAGAAAGGCACAGAGAGAGCCAAATAAACACTTATGTAATGGTTAAAGACAGTAATATAACTCTAACACAATAGCGACAAGAACAGCAATTTCCTGGCAGGCTCAAAGTCCCTAATGTGCAGATCCCCACTTTTCCAAGTGGTTCATGACCTACAGCTGCACCCTGCCTTCTTACATAGCATTAGCAGCTGCTCCACACAAACCCAGATCCTTTATTTGAGGCAGGAGAGATGTCTCTGGGATGGAAGACATCAATGATATCTTTCTTTTAGAATATGACAGTACTAATCCAAATATAATAAATACCACAAGGGTCTCTTTTCACTCAAAATGATGTCCTCTATTATAAATCCTCAACTGAAATCATTGATATCTAAGAAATTATCTCTTAACCACATGATACTGAGATTGTGCTTAATATAATTATTTCCTTAGAAAGTGAAAATCTTAGTTATGTGAACTAGGTATAGCTGTTCTTTACGACAGCAGTAAGCATCTTTATTTTACTTGCCAATTTTCATACTAGATACCAAGAAACAGTATCACATCAGTGTGAGTGTTTAACAACTCTTGGGAGCCTTTTAAGTGCTGTGGTCTCAACCTTGTATTCATTGAGCAGTCAAAACCCGCAAGCCACATACAGTACAAAAGTTGGGTGGACCAAATTGGCAGGAGTTGGCAGCCTAGCAATACAGGTTTATGTTTGCACAGCGCTTTGCAAGCAGACTCCGGCTTTCCCAGTCTAACCATACATCACCTTGAGTGTGCTCACGCAGCTTCTGCCTGGCTCGTAGCAACTCCAGCCCAACTTCTTGGGAATGGGGATGTCCCCAGGCAGAGCTTCCTTGCATCCTCCTGCAAAATGCAGTACGGATCAACTCTTAAGTGTTTTTCTGTTAGACACCTCAGTAAGGAATAAGGCTCTGTTGTAAAAGGCACAGCATGTGGATTTACAGTGTAAAGAGTAAATAAGCTAAAATCTAGATGTAAGACAGGAGGCTAGAAATAGCTATAATAAAATGATGGGCCAGCGCAGTGGATCACTGTGATAAGTGTAATTATTACAGCTTATTATTATAGATGCACACAGCATGCTTCTTTCTTCACCTCTTTTTTTAAAAGCAGAAGAGTTCATTGTAATGCATGAACAATGTCAGTCTTGTATAAACCAGAAGCAATAAGGGTTCAATCTGTGATTTCTGAAACCCTGAGCTACAGATATAGCCTATCTATATTAAAATCTAATCTACCTCACAACCTAGCCGTCAAAGTGTTAGCAGCCTGATTTACCTCTATACAACATCCAGCTAACACTGGAGCGGCGCAGAATGCAACACTGTACAGACTTTGGCCTCATATGCAAAAATGAAAGAACACACAGTCTAGTTTTTGCAAAAAAGGACACAATTCATCCTATAAATCACCTAAATAACAGGTCAGTTTTTGAAACTAGTGATATTTTCTTTCAAAAGTGACTTTTCTTTCTTTTAGGGCTTTTCTGATACTAACTTCTGCCTCCCAGATCCATGGATGCTGCAGAGTTCCGCAAGAGGGGGAAGGAGATGGTGGACTATATTGCAGATTACCTGGAGAAGATAGATAAAAGACAGGTCTTCCCAGATGTGGAACCAGGATATCTGAGGCCCCTCATTCCAGATTGTGCACCCCAGGATCCTGAGAGCTTTGAGGATGTCTTTAAAGACATTGAGAAGATCATTATGCCAGGGGTAAGAAAAATGGATCTATAGTGTGATACTCAATACTGCATTTAGATATTCAAAGGCTTTAAGGAAAGTGTGGATGGAAGCTATCCAGGTAGACCTTGCAAACAGGAGTGCCATTTGTAGTGCTGATTAGCTTTTAGGAGGCCTAAGTCTACTGTATATCCATAGTTAAATATGATCCAACATCACACTATTCATGTTTCTCTTCTTGCTAGCAACAATCAAATCATTCTTATGCTTCACGTGAGGCTTGCTTTTCGAAATCATCCCCTTTCCCCTCTTGAATTGGCTATGGCAAAGCTTCATAACTTTCAGTTTCATGCGATATTTTTGCTGCTTGCAAAGCACAGCAAATATTTCATAAAAGGGGATTTTTTTTACTAGTCTGCCTTACATATAATGTTTCTTCAAGCTGATCTTTAAATGTCAAAATTCTCTCCTGAGACTTCTTTTTATTGCAGAGTTGACCAGGAATTATTCTTCCCAATACTTGTTCTGTTGACTTACTTTCCTAAATGTCGACTTAAAGTACCTTTTGAGGCAGATGGCTACTACCTAAATATCCTTTGGCTAGATCAGTACTGAACAGACAGTGCAAAACAAAGCATCAGACACTGGTTCAATTCTGAATCTTTCTTGTTATTTTTCCACTCATGGTTTACTTTTTTAAATCTGAATACATGCTTGTCTCTTAAGGTCTCTCAGTAGCTTGAAGAGGACCACATGATTAGTAAATCTTAATGAAGGAGTAAATCTTAATGAAGTCTCTCCTTTGGATCTCTGCAATAATCAGTTTGGGTTGCTTCTTTGGATATAGATAGGTGATATGATTGCTATATGACGAGACATTTGCTCTGCAAATGTGTTTAGTCAGTATACTGTAATACCAGTTCCATTTCACTGACCAATGTAAATATTTGATATTTGATATATTTTTATCTTGTTTGCCTTGGCGCCAACCGTGCTGTCCTTTCACAAGCAAGTCTTCCACTGAAGTCAGTGGAAATCTCTCTACTCAAGATCTCTGAAGTTTTAATCGAACAGAATTAAATCAGTGCAGATTCAATAAGAGAGTTATGGCCAACACAAGCAAATCCTTTCATTGCTGCTCATAGATATCAATGTTGCTTACCTCTATATAATCATGTGTGTTTAATATTGCATGCACTGTAGTATGCTGTGGTTCATTTTAAAAACAGTTTATATCAAATGCTCATACCCAAGTGATTGTAATACAACAGTTAGACCCTGAAAAATATTTAATTACGAAAGCCTTTTCGTTTTGATTGGAGAAAAAAACTAAGCCATGTCTTTAGTATGTGAAATAGAACAGAAAACAAGACCGCTTTACTTTGAACCAGTCAGAATATTGTTTTGATAACATTCAATAAAATAATACCACATTTTAAAAAAAGATGAATCACTTGAGAATAAAAAGTGAAACATAGCATTCCAGTTATGTCGTCAACGCATCATGTTCCATCTTACATAAATTGATTTTTTTTGTTGATATTTACATGCCTTGCAAATAAACTGACTTTTACAAAGTAGTACATTCTGAAGAAAAAATGCTCTATCCAAAACTTTCCTGTGGTGTGAAATATTAGTGGTTTTGATATGTAAAAAGGAGTACATAAGTCCTAGTTCTTATAGCAACTCTGATTATTCCTTATGTCTTGTTTATACTAAGTAGTGAAGTCATGTGTGAACACAGAATTACAGAATGGTTGAGGTTGGAAAGGACCTCTGGAGATTGGTCTAGTCTCACCCACCTGCTCAGAGCAGGGCCAGTTACAGCAATTTGCTCAGGACTGTGTGCAGCTGGGTGTTGAATATCTGCAAGGATAGAGACTCCATGACCTCTCTGGGCAATCTGTTCCAGTGTGTGACCACCCTCACAGTAAAAAAAGCTTTTTCTTATGTTTAAGTGGAATTTCTTGTACTTCAAATTGCACCCGTTGCCTCCTGTCCTGTCACTGGATACCACTGAGGAGAGTCTGTCTCCATCTGCTTTACACCTTCCCAGACAGGGTTTATACACAGGGTTTATATACAGGGTTTATAAGATTCCCTGAAACTTCTCTTCTCTAGGCCAAATCAAGGGGAATAATCACCTCCCTTGACCTGCTGGCAATACTTCTCCTAATGAGGCCCGGAATGCTGTTGGCCTTCTTTGCCGTGAGGGCACATTATTGGCTCGTGGTCAACTTGTTTTTCACCAGGTTCATTTCTGCAGAGCTGCTTTCCAGCTGGCTAGCCACTAGCCTGTACTGGTACAGGGCGTTATTCCTCATCAGGTACAGGACTTTGCATTTCTCTTTGTTGAACTTTGAGATTCCTGTTGGCCCATTTCTGCAGCTTATCCTTCTTGAATGGCAGGCAGCACAATTACATGATGTATCAGCCACTCCTCCCAATTTTGTATTGTCTGCAAACTTGCTTAGGGTACACTCTGTCTCATTATACAGATCATTAATTAAGAGGTTAAACAGTACTGGCCCCCAGGGGTACACAAGTAGTGACTGACCTCCAGCTGGACTTTGTGCTGCAGATCACAGCCCTTTGAGTCCAGCAGTTTAGCCAGTTTTCAGTCCACTTCACTGTCCACATACCTAGTCTGTAATTCGTCAGTGTGCCAATGAGGACGTTGTAGGAGACAGTGTCAAAAACCTTGCTTACTGTCAGCGAGCCACAAGGGCCACCTGCTGTGCAAGGAAAGGTGAGCTGGGAGCAGAGGGGCAGTAACAGGGCAGGCACAAGTAGCACGCCAGCAAGGAGCCAGGATGCAGAGCGCAAGTCTGTCGCGATGAGACAGGTCCGAGGCCAAGCCAGAAAGCTGAGCTGGCAGGACCAGGTCAGGGTCAGACTCATGCAGGTAGGAGACTGCAGACAGAAATAGCTGCTGCATAGCTGTGCTGTAGCACACGGGCAGGGGCCAGTAGTAAAGTCTCAGCTTAAAATCTGTTCCCAAGGGAAAGGAAGAGTAGGCCCTCACTTCCAACTTTCTTCACAACAGCTCTTTTCAGCAATGGAGCTGACCTTGCACTCAGCCAGCTAAAATCTTTAACTTAGCCAGCTAGACTCCTAGAAGGGAGGTGCGCTCCAGGCCCTACTATTAAAGACAAAATAAGCAACATCCAGTGCTCTGCCTTTCTCCACCGAGCCAATCAGCATAGTGTAGAAGACTAAGGTTGGTCAGAGATGATTTGCCCTTCATAAATCCACACTGACTACTCCCAGTAACCTTCTTGTCTTTAATGATTGGAAATGGCTTCCAGGCTCCATCATCTTCCCTGGGATCAAGGTGAGGCTCACTGGCTCGTAGTTCCCCAGATCGTCCTTCTTGTCCTTGAAGACGGGAGTGACGTTGGCTTTGTTCCAGTCCTTGAGAACCTGCCCTAATTCTCATGACCTTCCACAGATGTTTGAAAGTGGCCTCACAGTGACGTGAGCCAACTGCTCCAGCGCATGAAGGTGCATTCCGTCGGGTTCCATGGACTTATGTGTGTCCAGTTTCCTTAAATGCTCTTTAACCTGATCCTCCTCCAGAGTAAGTTTTCCTTGTTCCAGACTTCCCCACAAGTCTGGGGAGTCTGGGATTCCTGAAGGCAAATCTTACCTAAGTGAAAAAGACATTGAGCACCTTGGCCTTTTCCGTGTCCTTTGTCACCAAGTCTACAACCCCATTCATCAGTAGGCCCACATTTTCCCTAGTTTCCTTTCACTGCTGATACACCTGTAGAAGCCTTTCTGGTTGCCCTTCACATCCCTTACCGGATTCTACTTCAGATGGGCTTTGGCTTTCCTAACTCCATCCCTGCATGCTCCGATAATGTTTCTATAATCCTCCTCTCCTGGGTCACCTGACCCTCCTTCCTTCTCTTTCTTATATGCTTCCTTTCAACTTTTGGGTTTTGTTCAGGAGCTCCTTGTTCATCCATGCAGGGCTCGTGCCACTCTTGCTTGAATTCGTGCAGGTGGGGACGGACCATTCTTGAGCTTTGAGGAGGTGATCCTTGAAAGTCAACCACTCTCCCGAACCCTTCTTCTCTCCAGGACATTATCCTGTGGGTTCCTTCCAAGTAGAGCCCTGGAGAGGCCAAAGTCTGCTCTCCTGAAGTCAAGGGTTGTGATCCTGCTTTGTGTCTAGCTGCCTTCTTGCAGGATCCTGCATTCCACCATCTCATGGTCACTGCAGCCAAGGTTGCCTCTGACTTTCATATCTCCAACCAGTTCTCCCTTGTTTATAAGCATTGCCTTTCCACCCTGTTCTACCTAAAGAGCCTGTATCCATCCATCGCGTCACTCCAGTCGTGTGAGATAGCTTACCAAGTCTCTGTGATCCTAATGAGATTGTAGACCTGCAGCTGCACACAGACTTCTAATTCCTCCTGTTTGTTTCATATGCTGTGTGCATTAGCCTACAGACACTTTAGAGAGGCACCAACTCATGCTATTTCTCAAAACAGGTATGAGAGCTTCCCCCATAATGCTGTTCTCTCAGCACTTCGTTAATTATGTGCATGCAGTTAGGGTGGCTTCCCTTCATCCCTGTCTTGTTGTTTTCAAGGTCTGTCTTGTCCGTATCACCTTACAGCCTTTGCTTGCCAATCCAGTTCACCATTTCCTCGCTTGAGTGATTGTAGGTTGTCATCTCCCTTCCCATTCATTTGTAATTTAAAGTTCTCCTTACTAGGCTGGCCAGCCTACTGGCAAAGATGCTTTTTCCCCACTTATTCAGGTGGATGCTGTCTCTTCCTAGCAGTCAATTCTCAAAGCTGGTCCCATGGTTGCAAAAAACAAATCCCTGCTTTCAACACCAGCTGCACAACCAATTGCTGACTTGCAGAACCTGTCCACTCCTCCTCAAGCCCTTTCCCTTGCTGGCAGGATTGAGGAGAAAACCAGCTGGGCCCCATACTCTTGACCATTGTCCCCAGAGCCATGTAGTCACGCTTATTATGCTCCACGTCACCCCTGGCACTCCTGTTGGTGCCCTCATGGAAGAGCAGCAGGAGGGTAACAGTGTGAGGGCCCAGCAAGCTTCAGTAGGCTCTCAACAATGTTCTGGATCTGAAGCACCAGCAAGCAGCAAAAGTCCCTAGACAGCAGCTCAAGTCAGCAGATGGGGCCTCCATCGCCTGTTGTAGGGAATCTCCCACCGCTACCACTCACTGCTTCCTCCTGGTGCTGCTGCATGGCTCAGGCTCAGCTGGCTCAGTCTCTTTGTTGGACACAGCTCCTAGCCCCTCATCTGCAGCCAGGCCATTGCGTCCATTCTGTAGGTGCAGATCTGCAGGTGGAGCAGGAGTTATCCTCCTTGTATCAGCAGTCACAAGCCTCCAGCCTTTGTTGTCATGGGAGTCTCCATTTCCCAACTGATAAGCACAGCCTCTACCTGTCCCTCCTTTGGTACATTTGGGCGTTCAGGCTCTTGTATCTGAGATATCTTGTATAGTGTCTCACAGAAGATCCAGTCAATCATTTTTGTCATCTCCAGTGCTGTGCAATCTGCTGACCTCCTGCAGCTCCTTTTCATGGCGACACAGATCCTCCGCCAGCACACGTCCTGCAGGCTAGGAGATTGTCTCTCGTGCTCCAGCCTCAGCAGGAGGCTGCAGGCACCCCTACGACCCCAGAACTGCAAGCTGCCTCCTCCCTTGGAAGCTCAGTGTGGGTCGAGGCCTCTGATGTGCCCGGGATGGATAGTTGCTTCCGTCGCTGCTGGGGACCTGCAGCATGTCACCACCACTGCAGAACCCACGTATGCTATCCTCAGCAGAGTTTCCGCTCCTCTTGTGTGTACTCTGCTGTGCATAGAGCTGCACTAGCTGCTGCCTCTGTTGGCTGCTTCTGTGAGCTGTGCTCACAGAAAGTGAAGTGTGAAAATGATAGTACTGTGCAAACACACGGAAACAGGGTTATAGGAAAATCTGTCTTAGTATAGGAAGACTTGTTCACATTTGTTTTAGAGACCTGTAAAATTATTCGTAGTTGATTTTAGGGACTTTTAAAATTCACTATAGAGTGAATATAAGTGTCCCCTGTTATATTTTCCCTTAATCTTCTTCACTTGACAATATTAATTTTCACACTTTTCCTGACAATATAAACAATTATAGGTAGCACTTAGTAATTTTCTGCTACAGTGCTTTTTCAGTATTTCACAGGGGAAACTCTTATCTGTATTTTATAAATGAGGAACTGGGCTTCTTCAAAGAGAATAGGTAAGATGAAGGAGGTCACACCACCTCACTTTGTCAAGGCTGATAGTGTCCCATAAGTGATTCTTTATTCCTTCATTTTGATATATATACTGTGGTGGCTGTGTTCACATATTTGCTACTTATTTGATGGCTTAAAAAGTGAAAATGCTTTTCCTTCAACAAATTCGGAAGAGCAAGGAGAAATTAATTGTCTCAAGCAATAATGCAGTATCCATTGCATTCTGTCTTTACCTAACAGGAAAACAAGCATTCGTGAGTTCATACTGGTAAAACTTATTTATGCAAACTTCATGTGAAACTGGATGTAGACCTTCAAAGGGCAGTCCGCTATATGATAATGACCATGATGGTTGTAAGTTTCTAGTATTAGCACGGGGACTGAGGGAACAACTGCTGAACTCCGATCTCCTTCCTCCGATCTCAGTTCCTTCTGAACTCCTCCTTCTCCTTTCCTTGGTGGAAGGAATCTGGATACAAAAATATTAGTGGCAGTCAACTTTGTCTCTCACGCTTGCTTTGCTCTCTGGAGATACATCTCCTTTTCTAGAGCCAAAAATAGTCAAGTTCAGTTGTGGTTGTCAGTAGCAGTATTGAAGAGGCTAATTTGCCATCTCACATTAGCATTAAGCTGTAAACTTTCAGCTCAAGTACCTATCCCTGATGTGTGGTAAAGGAAGAGACCCTTTTTCAGACTAAACAAGTCGCAGAAAGGCATCCTTAGATGAAATCTGGGAAATAAAATGTCTCTGAGAGGCATTAGAGTGGGAATTATTGAACCCAAGACACTTGTCTATCGTTGTTTATCAGCAGAGGGCTGAATAAACAAGCATCATCATGTCATGCTCTCTGCAGTATTTGCATATGTGTGTCTGTTCCAATATGGCAAAAGAAATGAGTTCTACAGCTGCATTAAGAGAAGGGGGAAGGGGAGGCAGGAGGAGAGAAGAACCAGCTGCACTTGCCCTGGGGCTTTTGGCCTTTTTCTGCTTTGTGTGAGTGGTGCAACTAGAATCTGCTGTGTTTCATCAAACAAATGGCTCCCAGCAAGTAGGCAGTTTAACTTGATTACCCCAAGATGAATGTCACAAGTCTTACAGATCGCAGAGGGTTATAGCTGGGGAGATGAACAACGGTAGCCCTGGATGATTATGGATGTCAGTGAAAATCTGTGCATGTGGGTCCTATCAGGGACTGCTGGTGTTTTTGGGCTTTTTTAGCTGTTTAGTATCTTCCAGTGAAGAGTTATGTCCCACCCTGTTTTTTTTTTTTTTTCTGTTGTGTGAAAGATGGCATACAGAGAAATACACTTTTGTGTCTCTCCAATATCTTTAAAACTCATAGCTGATGCTCTTCCTGTTTCTTAGTAAAAAGCTTATCTCTGCCTGGGCTAAAAGCTTAGGTTTAAGATTTTTTTTTTAAGATAGTTTGATTCTGGAATATTTTATCACAGTCATATTTTACTTAATAAAAAATAATATCCAGCAGAGAAGGTATTAGTTGTCAATGTAGGTGTTTTCCATATTTAAATGACTCCTTTGACATAGTGATCTTTGTCTTTTAGCAAAATGCCTCCACTACTGGGTCATCTTGATCCCAAAGACAACCCAAGCTTACTCAGAAATCCTAAAGCGGCAGAGAAGGGTGGTGGGGAAGGAAGGAAACAAATTCAGATGTCACAAGACAATAAAGTACTCTTTGCTTTCACATGGCAAATCAAAAATAAAGGCTTTGCCATTAGTGCTCTAAAAGGTCGTTGCAGAAGAAGGAGAGATCCTGACCATATGCAAGAAAGAAGCCAAAAGTGTTAGCAGTCGTTTGCTTTTGGATACCTTATTTGAGAAAGTTTGCACCCAGTGACCAATGAGAGTGAAATCTTGAATTTATCATGGACAGGGCTAGTTTAGAGAGTGGAAAATTGTGCTGGGCTGGAGCTGGTTTGATTTGAAAGAGACAGGGCATCTGAAAGATTATTCTCTGCAGCAGAGAAAGTTTTATCTGATTCATTAGGTATGCAAGAGTTAAGACAGACTTCCCTTATCATGGGGCATATTCCTTAAGAAAGAGTTGGGCATGGAAAAGGTTTGAAGAGGAAACACAAGGGGTAGTTGCAGCATGCAGAGGAGTGCACTACGGAGATCCCTGAGCTAGCTCCAGAACCAGAAGCCTTGTCACAGGCTAGGAGAGAGGGGAGTGGGAAGAATAAAATTCATCTGAGATGGGAATGCAGAACAAAACAGCAAGGAAGAGACTGAGCTCAGACAGGAGAGAATGCATGCTCTTACCATCCTCCAGTTATAACAGAAGAACTCCAGTATTAAAGAAAGAGTACAAGAAGAGCTGAGGCTTCAGTAACTCAGAGGCGTCTGGATTTCCAGCCAAGGAAAGATTTTATAGGCATTCTGCTGAATTCTTGCTTATAGTCCATCTAATCCTCTAGAAGCATATTTTTTCTTAAAATTGCCTTTTATCTTCAGTGTCAGCACTATTTTTACTAAACATATCACATTATTTCCAGTGAGTATAGCAATGTGTCAGTACATTTCCTGTTTTCAGATGTTATTAGATTCAGATTGTGGAGCACTATCAAGTATCTCACAGATTCTTAAAAACTGCATAGAGGTTGCACAAGATGATTCTTAATATTGTTGCTGCAAGCTAATGCGCTAGTTTTTGTGCAGTTATTGTGGTGTTCTCTCCTAATAGTTCATACAAATGGGAACTGTTCACAAATCACAATTTATTATAGGAGAGGATAGTGTAATTTTCCACAGAAAGTATTGGACACTGAAAGGATTGTTTCATTTTGTGGTGAGGGACTGTTTGGCCGGATTTGTTGTCTGAATTTAAACAAGTAACTCTGGAACGTGGGCAAGAGAGCGCTATGGACAGGATAGAGGAAGCGTTTAGACCGCTACTCACTAAGACACCCTTGCTAATTCAATCCCATGACAGAGATCAAAGAAATAACATGGAGAGTCCCTGAAAGCAGAGGTGCAAGCTCAGTGTCCTACACCAAAACACCCACTGCCACTGCCCATGCAATTCCTGTCCTCTAGGCAGACAAATGTAGAACTCCAGTTTCTAGGGGTGTTGAGGGTTGTAAGAACTAAATTCGGTTTAGCTTTTTCGTTCTAATCTGGGAAGAAGAGAGATAAAAAAATTGAGAAAAAAAACAAGGCAGACCTCTGAAAACTGAGATCCCATGTTACAGCTATATTGTGGAGAACTGTTGACTCCAGGTCACCTCCTTCAAATTCTTTCATGATTTCATGACAGTTTGTTTCCTGTAGTAGTTAAAAATGACTGTTTTTTCCCCTAATATAGGTGACACATTGGCACAGTCCGTACTTTTTTGCCTACTTCCCTGCAGCCAGTTCCTTCCCAGCTCTTCTTGCAGATATGTTGTGTGGTGGAATAGGATGTGTGGGCTTCTCTTGGGTAAGTTTATTGGTAGTATATACTGCTCTGTGGTATTGGTGCTTCACCTTGCCAAGATATTAAGCATTTCAGTAACATTCTTCAAAGAAACTGTTGATGAATAGCAGTGAAGTCACAGGACTATTATAGGTAAATTTACCTGTATAATTAAGTGTTTTCACATAGAAGCCCTGAACATCTCCAGTAATAAAAGTCTGTTTCCTCTTAGAAGTTTTGTCGTTGAAGAATTGCCAGCATTTAGAACTGGTAGTGACAGTACCTATGCACTTGCATTTCTTAACTGGACCCATAATAATCCTAAGAAGTGAGTGCAAGCTTACTGATAAATAATGTGACTGTTGCCTACTACCCAGTGTTAGGATTTCTCTTATCATTTGCATTGATGGAAAATTATATTGAAAAACAAAACATTCATTTCAGATGAGCTCTTCTCAAAAGAGTTTGCTACTTGATGTGAAAAAAATATGCAAGGTGCAAATCCTGGGTTTGACATTTGACAGTTACGGGTCTGTGTGAGGTCCTGTGTGGCAATTTTTTAACATATATGAGGAATACCATGCACAGAATGATCTTCATGTTCCTAATTTAGCCAGTGAAGTTAGTCAGCTAGTCTCTGTCTCCTAGCCAAAGACAGAGAGGGAGATGCCCTTGCTCCGGTGGAGCCTCTCCCTCTTCATGGTCTAGTGAGGTCATTTTCTTTGTTTTATCGTTCAACACAGGCTGCAAGTCCAGCTTGCACGGAGCTGGAGACTGTTGTGCTGGATTGGCTAGGGAAGATGATTAATTTGCCTGAAGAGTTTTTAGCTGGGAAGGATGGACGAGGTGGAGGAGTCATTCAGGTAAGACAGGACATGAAAACAGAGTATGTGGTGAATTTATGGTTCTACTTTGGTAAAAGGGAAGATATGTTTTTCCTGCAGCTTAGGTTCCTTTCAGATTTTCAGAAAGACTGATATGCTGTGACAGTATCCATGGGTGAGTACAACTACTCATAAATGTAATGCTTTTTTTTCCAGAAAAAAACAGAGTTTGACTCTCAAACTCTCTTCTGGGTGAAGAAAGTGTTAATAGTCAAACTTTACAGCCCAATTTAGGCTTAACATTCAAATCATAATGTTAAAAGATCCAGCAGAATGAAAACTCTTAATTTGTTGATCAAGTGAAGTAAGCACAGAGAGGCTTATCAACACTCTTCAGCAATGATGCATGGCTGAAAATAGAACATAACTTCTCAAATAGAAAATATCTGAGGATTTTGAATAGTGACTTCAGACATCAGAGCACCAGGAAAAGAGATTAGAAAGGCTTCCATGAAGTTCACCTTAGTCATGTTCAAGTATTTACTTCAGTCACTTTCCAAAACAACCCTCCTTTTGCCAGGGAAATAAAAAAGTGTCAGAGATCAAGCAATGGATAACAAAATAGCTGAGAATCTACCATAAGTTGGGAAAATGTAATGCAGTAGAAAGTCTATCAGTCTTTGTTAAAGAAGATGGCATAATTTTAAGAAGTTTTCCTTCTATAACAAAACAAAATGCTGGCATGTTATGATAAAATGAAGCTGCTTAAAATTGGAACCTGAAGGATTTAGATAATACAATTTACAGACTGAACTGCAGTACCCAAAATAGAAAAAAGTCACAAAACTGTTGGAAAGTTGACTGCTTAATGAAAGCTTGCAATTTCTGAACAGAGCAAAATCCATACAGTAACGAATACATTGTCAATGGACAAATTTGCATACCTAATAAAGTCATATTGTGTTTTAGATGTGGCTGTAGTGGTGTGCGGTCTTTCTGCAAATGCACTGGACTCTGGTCACAACTATTCATTTAATTAAAACAGATCACTACAGTGATGAAGACTAAATTTTATAACTGTATGTGCTCCTTTGACAACCTCTGGAGTCCAGTCGCTGGAGACCAGGCACAATCCATTTTATCCTAAAGTAGACCTCCATAATGTATTTGAATTACATGCCGAAAGCGGGGGCTTCTTTCACTGATCTCAGCTGCATATGTCTACAGCGTATTGCAATGAACTTTGCCCCACATTTTCCCAGGCAAGTGTGAACTTAATCTGACTGCTATGATGACCTAATGCAAACTTTTGCTCCACTTAAACCAGCATGTATCCAGAGTAACTCCTTACTTATCCTGCTGGCTGTTAGGACCTTTTTCATCACAGTGACTCTAGGTTTTTTGAATTCAAAAAATCAAGCTTTTGTCATGTGTCTCAGCAGTATGTATTTTATCCC